TGTACTGAGACTTTGGAGAAGGGAGGCATACTTTTGTTGTTGTTGTTTTGTGGGGTTTTTTTTAGTGGCTGCTTATTGTTTATTCTTGTGCATGGCTTGGATAGTAAAGAGTGGGGCTCTTTCAACTTCCTTTTTGGTGTTTTGCTATTTTGATACAAAAGAACCCAAGTGTTTCTGCTTGCTGCGGTCCGTCTAGTCTATGGGATGGGGTGGGGAGGGGGCAAGGAGGTCTAGGAGAAGGGGTGCGTGGTGGAACTCAAAGAACCTAGTGCCTCTGAAAGTCTAGTGGCTGGCAGTGGTCACTCAGGATGACAGCCCCCCACTCCCGCTGCCAACTGTGTTGGCTTTGCCAGGCTGCTTCCTTCTGGGTTCCTGAGCCAGGTCACAAGTGGTGATGCTGCTGCGGGCCTGAGTGCTCTGGGGACTCCAGCACTGTGGCCATGAGGCAGAGAGGGGAGGCATACTTTTAAAGCCTATCAAAAGCCTAGATAGGAATGAACTGTAGAGTGCAGAAAGACAGATGAGGTGTTGCTCACTTCAAAGCACTAAAAACTTTCCTTTTGAAGTGGGAATAGTTGGAAGACACGCAATTTCCATTGGCTTTTAACTTCAGTAGGAAGAATGGCCTGTATCATAAATGTAGGAAATTATTTAACTGATAAAGCAGCGAGGAAGTAACATCAAAAATATGTTATCTATTCTTAACATTCAAAAGCAGAATTTCCTCCCTCCTCATTTAATTTTTTTGGTTTTGGTTTTTAAAACGTGGAATCATTTCTTGCCAAGGAAAGAGTACATTTGTTGAGAAAGCATCAGCCATGGCCAGAATCTTCATGTAATTCTCAATAATCAGGTAGGGGAGGCTAAAGTCAAGATCAAGAAGAGCCATCATCCAGAGTAATTTTCCTGAGTGGTACAAACACAGTTACCTCCTCAGTGGGTCAAGAGTAGTGCTTTTGTATTAACTCATATATATGCCCTCAGGTACTACAAAGCTCTACTCTTAGTTATAGCAATTTAGCCTGCCTACTGACATAGCAATCATCTGGTGTTTCACAAAAAGTATAGTGATCTCCAGGAGCTTCCCTGAGCAATTTCCAGATACGGGCATTCTAGTTACAACGTAAGTGAATAAATCAAGATTGTCTTTCCAACAGATAGAGCTCCAGAATACTACTTGGTCATTTGTTTGGTTCCAAGAAATATGAAGCTAGTTCTATTAGCAACATACTTGCAAACCACTTTCAACTTCAAAAATGGTTATTTGCCATGCTGTTGTTGCTCTGGGTGTGTTGCTTAACTAGATTTAGTCTCAGAGGGTGTGACACTCTTAGATCCACTTGGTGACTCTGCCCAGTTACCACAGACAGCAGAAAGACCAGGGGTCCGGTTCTGTCCCTAAAGTGCTGGGTCTGGGACTAGTTATTTGTCATCCTCTTCCCCCAAACCTGCCGCTGCTTTTCCATTAATGCCTCAGTGAATGGCACCTGTATTAGGCTGAATACTACCCCTTCCTCCAAATACCTGGTCCTGATCCCTGGAACCTGTAAAGTTTACTTTTCTTGGAAAAAGTCCCTTTGTAGATGTGATTCAGGGTCTTTAGATGGAGAGATTATCCTGGATTATCCGAGCGGGCCCTGACTGCTGTTGTAAGGGTCCTTATAAGGTAGTGAAAGGGAAATTTGAGTCAGATACACAGAGAAGGTAATGTGCAGAGGGAGCAGAGATTAGAAGATTCTGGCCTTGAAATTTGTAGTGATGCCACCACGACCCAAGGAGTGACAGCAGCCACCTCCATTCTGGTGCTTTCAATCCAGCACTCATGCCGCCATCAGAAGGTTTCTCTAAAACAGAGATGTGACCATGCGAACCTGCAGTGAAAGTCTTTCAGTGGCATCTGAATGCCTGGAAGATAAACCCCTAACTCCCGAGAGACCCTTCACCATCTAACCCGTTTTCTCTTGCTGCCACTCCCCTCCCCTGCACATTCACACTCACTCCCCTCCACTCCCCTCCCCTGCACACTCACTCACTCACTGCTCTGCACATTCAACTTGAGTCATGCTGAACCTCTGACTTTCCCATATGACTAGGCTACTTTATGTGTCTGTGGCTTTCAAGTGCATTGTCACATCTATGACACAAAGAAAGAAATCTTATGGCTAACATATGCATGGCAAAAATCATTATTCAGTTAGATGCCCTGGCTGGTGTGGCTCAGTGGATTGAGTGCCGGCCTGCGAACCAAAGGGTAACCAGTTCAATTCCCAGTCAGGGCACATGGGTTGTGGGCCAGGTCCCTAGGTGGGGGTGTGTTAGAGGCACCCACACATCGATGTTTCTTTACCTCTCTTTCTCCCTTCTTTCTCTTCTCTCTAAAAATAAATAAATAAATAAATAAATAAATCTTTTAAATAATCATTGTTCAGTTAGAAAACAGTTCTGTGAAATCATAATTCAAAACTAGGATGCCAAGGCCAGCAATCTTAGGTTACCCTTCCCTTGTGGTTGAAACCACATCCCTGAAAGTCCAATTTAAACACACACATATATATATCTCAAATCATGGTTTTTAAATGCCATTAAAAATGTCCATCGATAAGAATATATTTCAGCTAGTTATTTAAAATATCTAGTATAAAATGCCACACCATCAATGGTTCTGTGAAATATTATGCAACTGTAAAAAAACAAGGCAGCTCTCTATACATTTATACAAATCTCCAAGATAAAAAAAAAGCGACTAGTTTGCCACTGTGTCCATTAATAAAACACATGTGTAAATGCACAGACTGGCTCTGACAGAATGTGGGGGGTACGGGTGGGTGTTCCTGGGAGGGGGGATGGAGCTGAGGGACACGGAAGACAGGGAGACTTCTCAGTGAATGTCCTCTTGTATCTTGCGCGTGTGTGGCCTATTAAAACTGAAGACATTTTTCTCAGTTCAAAGACTATCAAGGGTTATACTCTGGCCATTAACATCAATGAAAGCTGCCAGGTTAATTTTCTGTTGAGCTTTGGGATAATCATATAAAACCAGATAATAATAATTTAGTTTTCTTTCTGAGCTTGTATTCTACAAGATCAATTATTATTACTTAGGCTATTATGTAAAGACAATTTACCTCAGTCTGCAGTAACATTATTGTGTGTTCTTTGCCTGTGCCCCAACTGAGAGCTGGTTGGACAGAAATGTAAGGAAATTCACCTGGGCTGAAACTGTGCTGGAGGACAGCCCAGGCGGTTCCCTAAGAGTTGACTGTAGTTCAGCTTAACATTACCAGGGGGTCGTCACTGTCTCCAAATGCCACACAGCGACATTTCAGCCTCCCTCACTGTCAAGTGAAATACCCCCAACCGTATTTATTCATCTCAAGCACCTCTTCTTTCCTCTGACTCTCAGTTGAGAAGACCTACATCTAATTTTTGATCTATTTAGTGTATTTTCAGGTTAGCTATGTAGAAAATTACAAATATAAAATTATGAATTAATAATAATTCCTAAGATTATTATTAGACAAACTTGTTTGTACAAAAACTACAAACTCACCTTTGGTTTCAAAAATTAGGTGTTATTACAACATTATATTGCTTTTATTTTATTTTTTAGAGAGAGGGGGAAGGAGGGAGAAAGAGGGAAAGAAAGATCAATGTGAGAAAGAAACATTGATCATTTGCCTCTCATGCACACCCCAACCAGGGACCGAACTCATGTGTCCTGACCAGGAATTCAACCAGCAACCCTTCACTTTGCAAAACTGAGCCACACTGGTCAGGGCTATGTTGCTTTTTAAAAATTATATGAAATAATATTTAAGAACTAAATTCCCCTGAGGTCATAAATTACTTTTTAGAAGATATATATGTATTCTACTTTGTGTAGTATCCAGATATCAAGGATATCTAAATAACAGTGAAGTATTAGAAAAGTTAAATGGTATTATTCTTCAAAACATCTTAGGTGAACTGTACACCAATGTTCCTAGCAAATTACAACAGCCAAAAGGTGGAAAAGCCCCAAATGTCCATCAACAGATGAATAGATAAACAAAATGTGTTCCATACACACAATGGGATAGGACTCAGCCTTAAAAAGGAAGAAAATTCGGACACTGCTACAACATGCATGAGCCTTGAGGACACTATGCTAAGGGAAGTAAGCCAGTCACCAAAGGACAAACACTGTGTGATCAATCCCACTCATGTGAGCCACCTAGAGTGGTCAGATTCACAGAGCCAGAGAGCAGAACGGTGGCTGCCAGGGGCTGAGGGGGTGTAGAATGAAGGATTAGTGTGGAGTTTCAGTCTGCGACGATGAAAACATCGTAGGGATGGAAGGTGGTGATGGCTGCACAATAACAGTGTGAATTTACTTAATGCCACAGAATGTACACTTAAAAATGGCTAAAATGGTCAATTTTATGTTATGTACATTTTACAATTAAAAAAGGATCATGGTATTGTGAAAATTTTATAAATATCCTAAGTGTTTAGGTAAACCTTCTTGTAGGTTTATAATGAAAGTATCATTGCATTTCCTACTATTGTAATGGGGGTAGTATTTTGAAAATATTCACCTGCTATATTCTTAATACCCGCCCACCTCAAATCATGTTTTTCTCCCAGTAAGCTGAGCATGGAGAAATGACTGGACAGGTCAGCTATGGCACAGGGTAAAGTGACCCTGCCGTACAGACACAAAGAGACCAGGGATGGGTGGGGGACACAGATGGCTCGAGGACATGTGCAGGGCCAGCCCCAGCCAGGATGGGGCTGACTCAGCCTGGGACTGCTGGTTCCACGGGGACAGCCCAAGCCGGCCTTGCCAGCCTTGCGCCCGGCAGGAGATGCCAGTGGGCAGCCACTGACATCTTGACAGAGGTCAGAATGGGAACCAGAGGCCCTGCCCTTGCAACAGCTGCCCCACCCAACAAGGGCACGAACACTGTCCAGACACCCTGATACTCTGTTAGTGCATGCAGGGGAAGTGGATCATAATCTTGAATTAATTAAATATTTATTAGAGACTGAACTAACCTAAAATCATTTAAATTGCACGAGACGGAGATACAGTGGATTCCCATTATTCGTGGTCATCACGGTCTACAAAGCCACCGCAAAGACTGTATTAGTAAACACCGAAGCCCTGCTCCTGGGGAAATACGGGGCTAGGCTCAGACAGAGAAGAGATGGAATGATTCAACTCCTTCGGTGACTGGTACCTCCAAGCAGGCAAAGAAAATTTCTTCTAGAGCCACGGGAGAAGAAATATCAGTACCCGGTAAGATTTCAGACCTGCACTGGGGAAGAAGCTGACCTCACTTGGGGTGAGGAAGAGTCCAGATGAAGGCTAGTTAGGTAATAATTGACATCTCCTCACGGTCTCTGCTCTCAGACATGGAGTTGATGATGCTTTTTAAATACTTCATGAATTCCATCCGGATCTCTTCAGGGTCATCCTCAAGATTCGAGTGCACCAGCTTCAGCTTGTTCAAGGGTGGTGCTTAAAAAGGAAAATAAGGCAATTAGGCATGAACTTTTACTGGAGGCCATTTCTAGTTCCAAATGGCCACAACCTTATAGAAGCCAATTTGCTCAACTTTCTAAAGTCCAAAAATAAATTGTGTCTTGCTTGACATGATTTAACACAGGAAGGTTTCGCCACACGGCCACCTGACAACAGGATAACTCTATAAGCCACTGCCAGGTCCTCTTCGTTCTTATACCAGAAAGGAAGACATTGCTGAACATTGTGAGTTATTTTCTATGATCACACTGTCACATCTGTAATGGTGTGTGTCCCGTGCAGATTCAAGTTTTTCTTGAGAAAAGGCCAGTTAGGAAAGAGTGACCCTGGTAATATTGATGAGCAGCTAAAACCAGGTGTTTCCCCTCTTGGTGTCTACCTGCTTTTAAAGTGTCTATACCCTGGCCTGGATGGAATGGCAGACCTTCCAGTCTGGCAATTCTGATTTACATGGTGAGAAAAACAAATGCCTAGGACACACCAGATGCTCACTAACTGCACACAGATACTGCTTTCAAGGACAAAGCCACGGCTGGGTAGCTTAGCTGGTTGGAGCACCATCCTGACAAACCAAAGGTGTGAGTTCGATCTCCAGTCAGGGCACATATTAGAATCAACCAATGAATGCATAAATAAGTGGAACAACAAATTGATGTTTTTCTATCTCTCCCCCTTCCTTTCTCTCTCTAAAAATCAATTAAAAAAAAAACAAAAAACAAAGACACAGAGCAATATACAAATGCCCGGAACATTGAAGACAAAAGAAGAAAGGAGAATTGCAGTCTTCTTACACAAAGACAGGTTTCCTTTCTCACTGCCAGAGCCTGGTTTGTGGTGTGCAATTAACAGACACTGAGTATCCTGTAGGAACTGCTGTTGAACAAAGCAGGAATACCACATCTCGATTTCCTTCAGGTGGCTTGGGATGTCAGCGTTGAAGACAATCACCACCCCGTGACAGTCCTTCATCAGGGCTGGCCAGCAAGATTCAAACCTGCAAGGCAGCAAAGAATTCACAGTGAACATTAGGTGGTTCCGGTTTCTAATGGTGGACTTTAAAAATAGTATCTTACTATTGCTAACTGGTGGATGACTTCTCACTGTATTGAAACCCAATCATTAAAGTTTCAAGAGCAATGCATGTTCCAAACAATTGACCAAGCCCCTAATATATGCTAGGAAGTGTGCTAGGCCAAGGTGCCTGGTGGGAAACTGATTTTTTAAATCATTTGATGAAGAAAATCCTCTTAAAGGAAACATACTTTGGATCTCCGCCACAATCCCACAGCTCAAATTCGCACCCCGTGCCTTTGTTGTTGCTGGCAACATGTGGGTTCTCAAATTCCAGGATCCTAGAAACAGAAACAACAGCAACATCTCTTTGGAAACATTATGCTTTTGGAGTGCCATCAGCACCCAAAGCAGATGGTGGGTGACAGACAGGGACTCTCTGGGACACAGATTCATTTATCAGGGCTCACCTCACTCCTTGGGTTGGGTTGTATTCAGTGATGTCAGAAGATTCTGTCAGGAAGTTGGCCAAAACGGTTTTTCCACTCTGAAAGTGAAGGTAATAAAAAATCTTTTCTAACAAGCAGGAGAGTAAACCATAAATGAGCCCTCCAGTAGCTGGTTTGGAAGCAGATGTGATGGAGTGCAGGCCGCAGCCACCTGGGATCACTGGAGCAGAGGGCTGCTCTGGTTGGGTGGACCTCGCTGACTTGGGCTGCATGGTCTGCACAGTCTGCTCCAGGGCCCAGGAAGCAGGGATTCCAGCACTGGCTCTGCCTCGGGGGAATTTTACCTACATGGATTTCCCTGGCTACCCCTCAGTTAACTCATTCAAGAACAGCAAAAAAATTTCATGTGAGCTTTTCCTCACTTGCTCCTCTCCACATTTTTAAGAAAAACCACAGTCTGTCACAGCTCATTATGAACCCACTGAGGCCAAGAAAGGGGAAAGGAGCTCCTCTAAGTCAAAGAGAAGTTCACGGTCGGAGCTGGGCCCCAGGTGTGAGGACTCCTGGCTGGCTATGCCACACTCCCACGTAGAGCTGTTTCTCCCTCTGCGTAATACGCACTCTCATTTTTAAAAAATGAACAAACAGCCCTCCTGGTTCCTCCACCCAAACCATCCATCTGTCTATCCATCCCACACCCTCTCCAAAGGTAACAACAATGATGTTTTTCAGATTTTTTCCTACACATCTGCATCATCCATTTAATAAACACTGTATGACCACATGTAAAATTTTTTTTTCTCCACCCAAATTATTCCTCAGAAGGGGAATCTCTTATACTTAAATCCTTATTGAAAAATATCTCAAATTATGCTCTGCAATTCAGTACAGCCTCCATCGATGCCAATCTGGGAGGCTTGTGCAGGTCACCAGCTGGAGTCAGGAAATAGATAAATAAAAGAGGGGGAAGGACTTAACATTGTTTTAGTAACTTTCTCTGAGAATTTGGTCTCACAAATCATCACTTAACAATAACACAGTAAGTGGTCATGTTAGAAGTCATGAATATTTATCTACAGGGTGAATGAATAAAACAAATGGCTTGATGTTATAGGAATAGTTCCTTGAGCTGGAATACATTTCCAGGAAGAGGTTCATACTCAGACTGAAAAAGTGCTGTATCCTAAACTACTTAGGTGGTGTGCTTTGTTAGGTGACTCAAAAAGTGGCTCTAATCATAGATGACTTTGGTGTCAAAGGTACAGGTGAGGGGCTTGAATAAAACTGTCATGAAATACAAGAATGGAATAAAACAGCATTCCTAAATTAACATAAGCTTAATGTACCTTTAAACGTGTATATAGCTACACTGATACATAAAACATTATAAAAGCATACTTGTATATTTCATTTATGCCACTAAAGTTTATATATACTAGCTGGCTAAAACCAATTTTTTAAGGGGGTGGGTTCTTATGGGGAAATGAAGAAATTGCCTGTTAGGCTCATAAGACACTTATTTTGAAGTGTCTACCTTGTGCCAGGTGCTGTTGAATAAATCAGAAAGAGATGAAGTACTGATAGGTACCAGGGTAAAAATTAAGCAGAGTGATGTGATAGAATCTTTGAATTGGGTAGTCAAGGAAAGCCTAGACGAAGTTTAAACTGAGCTTTGAATGAGTCGACTGAGGCTTCCAAGCAGAGGGAACAGGTGTTTCAGAGGCACCCGGGCGGGAATGGGCACAGAATGCTGAAGGAACAGAAAGTCAGCCAAGTTTGAAGAGTACAGAGGGAGATGGAAATGTATATGCAAAAATGTATTTCGTTGTTGAAGCTGGGTGATGGGTACTAGGAATTCATAGTTCTTTCTCCCTTGTATATGTTTGAGAATTTCCATTAAAATGATATCTATGCTTGTTTTGCTTTTCCTTATTCTCTGCATATTGTTATTGTCTATTTCACTTAATAATTTGTGTCTTGGATTCTCCATGTCAACACACAGACTTGCCATGTTTTGTTTAACTGCTACACAGTCCTCCAGAGTAAGAATGGACCTTAGGTTATGTAGGCATTTTCTTACCGATGGCATCTAGGATGCTCCCAACTGTTCACTATCAACTGTTCACTATGACTCATGGGGAACATCCACAAGTATTCAGCTATTGTAGATTCTGAGAAATGTAAGTGCAGCACTAAAAGCTAAGCACACTTTAAATATTAATGATTTGATCACCAAAAAAGCTGTTATCATTTTACAGCCCCAACAGAATCCTAGAGTACTCATTTCCCTATAAGCATCCGAACACAGGGTATTAATCAATCTTCTAAATTTTTCTTATCCAATCTGATGGGTAAACAAATGTCATCTTTTTGTTTAAAGTTGCATTCCTGTGACTGTGAAGCTGGGCATCTTTCTCACACTTACTGATCAGGTGGATTTCTCTTGTGCAGAGCCTTAGCTCAATTTTCTATTGAGTTCTCTTTTCTTTCCCAGTTTCAAACTTGTGATCTAGCTATTAAGTCTTTGTAATGTATTTTGCAGATACTTTTCCCAGGCTTTAACTTCCCTGTCATTTCTTTTAATCCTTCTTCATTTTTGTGTTGTGCTTAAGAAGAACTTACCTATTTTAAGATTAAAAATGTATCTTTCTATATATTCATCTACTACAGTGGTTCTCAAAGTGTGGTCCCCGATCAAACAGCATCAGTAAAATGCAAATGCTCATTCTTTTACTACTTCCAAGTTCGTTTGTTTTTTTTTACACGTTTAGTTTTAGTCCATCTGAATTTTATTTTTTTGCATGGTGTTAAGTACACATAAAGGCTTAACCCCCCCGGCCATCGTCACACATACATTAATTGCTAATTGTTCCAAAACCAGGTTATAGTCCAGTCTTTCCTCCTGGTTTTCTCGTACCACAGACATATTCATTAGGGACAACCACGAATGCAACGTGAGATCTAAGTTCTGGCTCCAAAACGCCACTCACTATATCTTGGGCCTTGAGGCCTCAATGAAACAGGGTCAACGCCTGGAGGCTCAGCGTTCTCGGTGAGGCGGGCGGTGCACACCGCCTGGGCGGTGGGACTCCGTCCCATTTCCTGGGGGGCACCGGGAGCACCCCCGCCAACGCTCGCTGCGTCCGAAGCCACACCCGGCCCCGGCCTCACCTCGCAGGGCCCCACGAAGAGTATCTTGGCCTTCAGCATCGCGGCCCGCCGACTGCAGGTCCACCGGAGCCCACTCGAGCGTTGTCTGAGACCGCAGGGCTGTCGGGGAGGAGCAGCGGAAATCGCCGCGTGGATTGGCTGCCTTTGTTTCCATGGAGACAGGGAGCGGCCCGCGGGGGCCGACGGGAGTGAGCGGGCTCAGGCGCGAGTTCTTGGTGCTTGAAGGTGCTGGTGGGACACGGTGACCCCGGCAGGGTGGTGTGAGCTTCAGGCTGAAAGTCGCCGTGCAAGGCACAGGGACAGCGTAGGAGGGAAACAAAAACCTCTCTTCTGAGAGGACCGGGGGGGGGGGAGGGGGGAGCGAAGAAGGGGCGAGTTTGGTTTCTTTGTCGAAAGGTTGGTTGCGGGTCCTTTTTAATTTTAATTTTTTAAGATTTTTATTTATTTATTTAGTTTCTTCCTCCCTCCTTCCCTCCTCCCCCCCCCTTCTTATTTTTTTTTTTTAGAGAGAGGAGGAGGGAGGGAGAAAGAAAGGGAGAGATGACCTGGCCCTCAACCCAGGCAGGGGCCCGGATCGGAATCTAACCTGGCAGAATCCTAAAGGTTAGGCTACTGTTCGGTTAGCAAGCGGACGCTCAATGCACCGACCCGCACCAGTCAGGGCACTTTGCCGTCCTTGATCTCCCTTATTTCTCGCTGTTAACTGGACAGCTCAGACAAGCCATGCAGCTGGTGAGCTGGGGTTGGAACCAGCCCTCTGTCTCTTTTTCACTGTGGCATGATACTGGCCACGTTGAAAACGGATTTATCATATCCCTGGCCCAGTCTAGAAGAAGTCAAGGAAAAAACGATCTTCTGGTCTCTGTAAAGGGATTCATCGCTCACCTCATTTGGGCGATTTGGAAGGAACCAAAAGGATAATGCCCTGACGTGTTCAATGTCAGTGCAGTGTCTGGATGCATTGCTGTTAAATTCATTCATTAGGTCCGTCTTAATTACAGACCCAGTCCAGAATTTCGAGTGAGGCCAGGAAATTAAGCGTCTGTGTGCTAAGAGTGCTGATACAAGATATGTTAGCCCACAAAGGTGCTCGCATGACTAAAAATACTACAACTCAAGCTTTAACTTTTGGTAGGCTAGTTATATAGTTTCTGTGTTACAAAGAACTTGTGAGTGAACTATAAGGAAGAGTCTGCTTCAATATCAAGATGTCATTAATTGATTGATTGGTTAAATAAATATTTTCTGAATGCCTACTTTATACCAGGCACTCTTCTAAGTACTAGGGATGTTCCTGTAACTCTTGAATCTGCCATTCCAGTAGAGTAGATGGATATTCATTAAACAAGTAAATATTGGGTTGGCCAAAAAGTCCATTTAGTTTTTTTCTGTAAGATAAAAGGCACATTTTTTCATTTTCATAATAACTTTATTAATTTGGATATTTTGAGTATGTCAGCTATCTCCCACTATTGGATTCTAATGGGTAGAGGCCAGGGGTGCTGATAAACATAAGACATGCATAAGACACAAAGCACCACTTGGCCAAAATGTCAGTGAAACCAAGAAACTTCGCAAACCACTTTGACACATTTGACTGTCACAGCACCTTCTCCATACACTGCACAATTTTTTTTGCATTTCAGTCATGTTTTATCTTTTTGAAATAAAGCATAATATGCCAAAAATTTGTGTGTTGTCTTCCATCTTCAATATTAAAATGGCTGCACAAAAATTCACCAATTTTGATGAGTTTTTTTTGTGCACACTGATATGACAGCTGTCACAATACAATCCAACAAAATTGTTTTGAATGAAGTAAAAGACAACTAAGCGCAACTACTAGAGCCATCGTGTGGAAAAAACAAAATGAACTTTTTGGCCAACACAATAAATAACATACTCTCAGGTAGAGACAATTTTAGGTAGTGGTAAGTGCTATGAATAAAAATAAATCACCGAAGAGTTAAAGTGTGAAGGAGCCAATTTTGGATGAAAGGTTAAGGCAAGACCTTGGTGCAGAGGTGACGTTAGAGCAGAAAGCTGAGTGAAGAGAAGGCTCAGCCAAATAATGTGAAAGATCTGGAGGAAGAGCTTTCCAGCAGAACAGCATGAGTAAAAATGCTGAGGTGGAGATAAACTTGGCATGTTCCAAGATCAGCCCAGAGGGCCCATGAGGTGGGTGCAGGGAAAACAGGGAGGAATGCATGTAAGACTTTGGGAATTTATTATATGGCGGTGGGAAGCCTGTGCCAGGATTGTATTGTATTTGGCTCTGTGTAGTAGAAACTTCACCGCAGCAATTTAACCAAGTGAGGGATTTACTGTTTTCTCACCTCACAAGGAATCAAAGGATGAGCACATGAGAACTGATGCAGCTGTTCAAGGAACAAGATCCATTCTCCCTTTGTGTCCTGACATCTTTGGCATGGCTGCTTTACCTTCGTGTTTTTTGGTTTTTTTTTTGTTTTTGTTTTTGTTTTTCTTTTTAGGCAGGAACAAAGGAAAACAAATGTCAAAGGTTGTATAGCACTAGAGTCTCCCCTTTTCTCAGGAAAGCATAGTTTCCTTAGAATCCCTATTCAGTGATTTTTCCTATGTCTCATTGGTTAGAATCCGATCATGTAGCCTCCCTAACTGCAAGGGAATCTGGGACATGTAGGTTGTAGTTTTGCATGTTGCTTTCCCAAGAATGAGGGCAGGGGTGGTGAGGGGAAAGTTGACATTGGCTAGGAACCTGGTGAGCCAAAAAATCATTAAGGAGAGTTTTTGAACAGGGGGTTGTCATGAACTGATTTATGTTTTAAGCATCTTCCATTATTAAAATATTTGCTCATTTTTCACTATAGGCAGTTCACACATGGCAAAAATATTAAGCAGTTGGTTTTAGTGTGGTGTATAACTGCTGTATATCAGTAATTTTTACAAGGTTTCATCCTAAACCTCAAGTCATGTAATTAATAATTTGTTTTATTTATGACCTAATTGTCTTTTATTAGTAAAGGCTCATGGAAAAGATCTTTTATTAAGTTGGTGACTTGACCTACATTTAATTTTCCTGCAGCATATGAAATATTGTACCAGTGTGATAAAGGATGTGTAATATTTTATTGATACAGCTATCTTTCAAAAGGAATACATTTTAGGATTTTGATTTGAATCATGTACATGTTGATAATATGCACTGTTTATAATACATTTAGTGTTTCAAGAGATTTATTTAATTGCCTTTTGCCCACATATATTATGTAGTCTATTTGCAATTATTTATTTATTTATTTAAATTTTAAACTATGTTTTATTGATTATGCTATTACAGTTGTCCCATTTTTTTCTCCCCTTTATTTCCTCCTGCTCTGCACCCCCCACTCCCACCAGCATTTCCTACCCTCCACTTAGTTCATGTCCATGTGTTGTACGTATAAGTTCTTTGGCTTCTCCATTTCCTATACTATTCTCAACCTCCTCCTATTTATTTTGTACCTACTATTTTTGCTTCTTATTCCCTGCACCTTTCCCCTCCATTCTTCCCCTCCCCCTCCCCACTGATAACCCTCCATGTGATCTCTATTTCTGTGATTCTGTTCCTATTCTAGTTGTTTGCTTTGATTTTTGTTGGGTTTTTTTTAGGTTCAGTTGTTGATAGTTGTTTGTTGTCATTTTACTGTTCATAGTTTTGATCATCTTCTTCTTCTTAGATAAGTCCCTTTAATATTTCATATAATAAGGGCTTGGTGATAATGATACTCCTTTGACTTGACCTTATCTGGGAAGCACTTTATCTGCCCTTCCATTCTAAATGAAAGCTCTGCTGAGTAGAGCAATCTTGGATGTAGGTCCTTGCCTTTCATGACTTGGAATACTTCTTTCCAGCCCCTTCTTGTTTGTAGGGTTTCTTGTGAGAAATCAGCTGATAGTCTTATGGGAACTTCTTTGTAGGTATCTGTTCCCTTTTCTCTTGCTGCTTTTAAGATTTTCTTCTTACCTTTCATCTTGGGTAATGTAATTAGGATGTGCCTTGATATGTGCTTCCTTGGGTCTAGATTCTTTGGGACTCTCTGAGTTTTCTGGACTTCCTGGAAGTCTATTTCCTTTACCAGAATGGGGAAGTTCTCCTTCATTTTTTTTTCAAAGAAGTTTTCGATTTCTTGCTCTTCCTCTTCCCCTTCTGGCACCCCTATTAGATGGATATTGGAACATTTAAAGTTGTCCCAGAAATTCCTAAGCCTTTCCTCATTTTTTTGAATTCTTGTTTCTTCATTCTGTTCTGGTTGAATGTTTATTTCTTCCTTTTGGTCCAAACCATTAATTTGAGTCCCAGTTTCCTTTCCTTCACTGTTGGTTCCCCATACATTTTCCATTATTTCTCTTTGCATAGCCTTCATTTCTTCCTCTATTTTGTGACCATTCTTTTGACCATTCTTTGTGACCATGCTCATTTCTGTGAGCATCCTGATTACCAGTGTTTTGAACACTGCATCTGATAAGTTGGCTATCTCTTCATTGCTTAGTTCTATTTTTGGAGCTTTGATCTATGCTTTCATTTGGGATATATATATATATATATATATATATATATATATATATATATATATATATTTGTCTTTGCATGCCTATTATGTAGTAAAGGGCAGAGCCTTAGGTATTCACCAGGGTGGGACAACTCACGTCACTGCAGTTGTGATGCTGTATGTGAGGGAAGGATCCCAGAGGGAACAATGCCATTTGCTCAGCTCTCACCCTGCTTTCAGTCACTTCTCCCACTTACCCACAAGGAGATTGTGCTCTTCTGGTGCTGATTCCTGGATGGGTGGGTTTGTATATGGTCTAGAACCCTGTGAGTCTCTCCATTGAACTCTCCTGTGAGGCTGGGAGTTCCTACCACTGTCACACCCCCTACAGGTCTTTGTAGTCAGAGGTTTTGAGGCTTTATTTTCCCACGCTGGAAACCTGGGTTGTGGGGTCTCTCTTGCTCCCCAGTTGTTCCTCCTGGTTTATCTGCACACAAATGTGGGACTGCCTGGTCCACCAGCCGCCTCCTCGTCCTCTCTGGTCCTTTAGCTGCCACCTTGCCATGAGTCCTCTCTGTCCCTGTCCTCCCCTTCTACTGGCCTGGG